GCATGTGGACAAACAGAGATTAGCACATAAGACTAGATGCATGATAATGGCAGGCTTGTGGTTTGATGTCATTTGAGACTCTGAAACTTCATAGCATAATAAAGCATAATAGATGCTTATTCATAGAATACTTCTCAAGCTCCGGTGCCACTTTTTGATACCTGTACTACATATTCTCAAGTATACAATTGTTGCATTGTTTTGTGCATTTTCACAGTTGTAGAGAAGTCTGTGTGCAATTTGAGTTCTCCCAGACAAACAAGAAGCTAGACGCAAAAAGAACAAGAAAGCTAAAACCCAAATTACAAAAAGTAGTTTAGTTGTGCTTCTTGGCTCAGTAGTGGTTTGTGGTTAGAAGCTGTCGGCTGCTTCCCAATCTAATTAAACAAGATGAATAAATGAAGTAAGAAGCTATAGAGATAACTGTTCTGTAAGCACATATTGGTATTTTAACTTTCTAAACAGCACCATCCATGTGTTTAAGGTGCTATAATAAGTCTGAGAGTGTGTGTGCTATGTAGTTCCCCAGTTTCAGTGAAGGTAGTTGGGTGCAGTGGTATTTATTAGGGATGAACAAGTACAACGTTATCTGTATCTGTTCAACTAAATTATCTGTATTCGTATCCGGAATTAATGGTTGCGGAACTAACACATTGACATATTTTATTCTGACGATGTATATTATCTGTACCGGTTTCAGCAGAGTACTCACTCAACTCTAGTATTTATTTACATCAGTTCAGCAGTATATTACCCTGATGACCTCAGGTGCTTAGCAGGGGAATAGTCCCGTAGTGGATAATTCCCTAGCCTCACATTGAAGGTGCTCGCTAGATAGTATATTCCCTCATGGTCTCGAGCCCGTTCCAGGGTAATGGCCACAAAGCAGTAACCACAAGTACTAGTTTATACATAATGGCTGGTGCTAAGCATCGCATCCAATGAGGTTTTTGCATGTACGTTTTTATGGTCACCCCCCACTCTCTGCAGGGCTGATGTTTGTGGGGAGTGACAAGGTCTGTACATATTTCATATTCAAATAATGCTGTGGGCTATGTGAATTGTCTGACTGAAATGAAACAAAGTTTAGTTCAGGCAGACATTTCAAACACGCCGTTATAGACTTCGCTCACTACGGTCAAAAAAGAAGTTAGGTGGATAACGCTGCTAAGTAATACCCAGAAAAAGTTGGTTTACATCAGTCCACCCCACCATGGACTAATGTTTTGATCCCTGACAATATTTCCACCCATCCTACATGTTCATTCTAAGTATACTCAACTCCCCCTTATAAATAGCACAGTGTATTGAAGCAGATACGCCGATATCCGTTATGCTAATGCATGCTGAAATTCTGCTGTAAATGCAGCAATAACCTGCTGCTGCCATTTGTGTGGCATTCTTATAGCTTTAAAAACGTCACCTCCATCCCAGCATCCACGTGTTAGCTTTGACTCTATGTTCAAATGTTGAGGTGTTATCATCATTACTCCCCACTACTGCTCTGCTGATCTTGTTATATTATTCTATACTCACAGAATATTCACTTACACTTGGAGTTGGATGGCTAGTTTAAAGACAACTCATTACCTGGGAGGCAACCTATTTAGGGTTTTATTGAGTAAATGATCCTGATGTCTTAATCCTGATCAGTGACAAGACTTCCATACTTCTATTAAATCCCATGTACATACATACTATACATAAAACCATTAATTCAGTCTTCCATGCATCCAACCAGCCATCTCAACTTGAGGCAATGAGAGGATGACAGGTTTTCTGACAGTACTTGTGCTCTGTGCACTGTGGTAGATTTACTGCAGTGGATGGATAGTTTGCCAGTGGAGATGCCAGCTTGTGTTGAATGCCCAGCCACAAGCTGGGTGGATGCCTGGGTGCCCCCCAGTCCACTGGCAAGAGGGTGGCCAGTAGTAATGAGGATCTGGAGACTGGCTCCGACCACACACACTTATACACACCCACTGACAACACAAACAAAGACGGGGAAAGCTAGAAGACAAAGCCACAAGCTAAATGATGCCAAAATACGAGAAAGAATCTTCTATATCATCGACACAAAGCAGCTTTTGTGCTTCAAGCTGTCAGATTTTGAAAGGGAAACTGCAGCAAACTCTGTCTGAAGTCTGAGTCTGAATCTAGTTAACAAAAACATGACAATGTGGTTGAGTTCATCTAAGTCAAAATGCTGTAAATTAAAATGTTTCACTCATCTGTGAGGCAAAAAGGTGTGAGATGACTTTCTTGGATGCCAACTCCATGCATTTTGACAGATTTTAATGAAGCATATGTTTCCTTCCTAAAGGTTGCATGAAAAATGTCTGCCATCACTAACTGTTGCAGCCAATTCATGCTTTGTCTTCTTCACAGTATGAAATCGCTGTTAGAAACGTGACAAGAGTGACAGACAGGTTAATTAAATTTGTGAAATACTTTAATTGGCAAGAGGTATGCTAATCATGAATTGGCATAATTTAGGTGGAAGTTTTGGCACAGCCCACTATGGAAACAAGAAAGTTTGAAGGACTTTTTGTGCGTCTGTTACTTCAAATAAAGAGAATCAAATCTAAATTGCAAAGCTAACTAGGAAAGGAACTGCTGCTTTTTATCCTTAACTCTGGAAATGTTACTGTTAAAGGCAGAAATTACGATTTCAGATGGAATAAGAGTCTGATATGAGCTGTGTGTTTAAACTCAAGTCAAGAAAAAAAAATTATTTGCACAGCTTATAATAAAAAATCCACAAAAATAGCACAGTGGAGTTGGAAAGTTTGAAATTGGGAAGTAAAAAACATACATAATGGGATCATGACTTTATTTAGGATGGTAACTAATGAGTATTTTCACTCTCAATCTCGATTCTTTTTTCCAATAACTGATTAATCATATTGTTAATGAAATTACACTAAATAGTGAACCCTCTTCAAACATCTTGTTTACCACTGTTTACCTGAATCTCAGAACCTGTTCCATACTAACTAATTCCTCATTACATGTTTCGATTAAGTTGACAACAAAACATATGCAACAGCAGATGAAATTCTTGCTTCTGCATTGCCCTACTGTAGCTTTGTTTAATGATAAGGTAAGGCTGTTCCATCCCTCACTGCTGCTCTCTCCTCGGTCCACTATGTGGTGCTTTAGTGCTTCCACTGAATCAGTGCTTTACCATGTCAGCTGTGCTTATTCTAATAGGGGGTGATGTCAGTGGAGAGGCTTTGCCAAAAACATGTCAATCACAAACAGATTGCTGCTCACACACACACACACAGAGAGGGCTCGGGCAGTACTTGCTGTTACCACTTGTCCAGTCTCTACGGCAACTAATGTCTAATTTGTTAATGAAAAAAATTATCTTTGGATGCAGCAGCTTTTCTTTATCATTTGTTTCATCAACATTGACAAAAAAATATCTTGATCAAGTGAACTTCAGCATAATGACTGTTGCATAGCTGCCACCTGATCCCAACAGAATAGTTTGTCTCGTGGCACTTTGTACTTTCTATGTAAAGGCTTAACAGTCAATTAGGTGGCATTGGGTCCTTAGAAACACAATATTATTAGAAGCAAACAGATGCAGCTTGGGGAACAACAGTCAATCAAAGTACCCTTAAAGGCTGTAGTAATTAGGAACATGGTCTGAGGAGGGCTTGTTGCTATTTAAGATAGCTATTTCTACTATAAACAAATCCTCTACAGGTACATCACATTCATTTCTAAGAGGACACCAAGTAATAGTGAGCACACTGTCAAGAGACCCAGCATACACAGATGAGATGTATTTGGAGAGCTGTCTTTGTTTGCAAATAATCTGAACTTCAAATCTGCTAGAAGTGTGGACCAGACTTAATATGACTAAATGAAATGGTGTTCCACATTTTAAAAGGCAGCGGGCATATTTTTTCTCCAAAAGAGTTGAACTCATTTAAGTGAGGGCAGAGAAGATGGCTGTTTTTACTATAAGCCAGTGATTAAACTGTTAATGGCCTAATGCCAGAGCCTCACCTCAATGCGTTCTTCTCCGTGAATTGTGTTTCTAAGAAGTCGTGCATCATTCCATTTGAGCAAACCAAATTAGTTAGCTTGTACAATTTCCCTTTTTCCATTATGCACCTGTTGAGAGCACAGGTGACCTTGTTCCTTCTATTGGAAACCTTTCATTTCAATTAGTAAAGTCTGGGTAGGTTTATTTTTTTATTTCTAAAAGATTTGAGCTTTTGGCCGTTCTACTGTTGTCAGCATTCAATCGGTTTTGTTAAATTAGGGCCTTGATACAGCTCCATCAGTGCCATTAACATACAAACACTAGATTGTTAGCCCTTACACAGTACATACTAGAGTGCTGTTCACAGTGGGCTAGACAATCAACATCACAATGTGTGAATTGGTGGCGGCAAATATAGTTCAATTAGCATTCAAATCACATTGCCAGTCTCTTTGTTTCTAGAAAAATAGAAGCTTTTTCTAATTATGTTACTGAATAACTCAACAGATAAGTGTTTAACATTAACATGTATTACACTGGTATCTTTATAACAGGTGCATCATGGGATTTTAAATCTTCTGTATTTCTTTGAGATTTTTGTTCTAATTAATTAGCTCACTTTGCTTTGAACTAGTTTCCTAAACCAATCCAGCCTTGTCATCTAAGATCTAGACATGCTTCTCATATTGATGATTTTGTGAAGCCAAAACATAATGACAGCTCAAAATGGTGGCAGATACAAATATAGCAGTAAAATTTGTTCTATTGGATTTGCAAAAGACTAAATTTAGTTGATCAACTTTTAAGTGCCAATTTTTTACTTTCTTCTGTACATAAAATGTCTTTGGGTTATAAGATAATAAATATATATTAGTAATAGAAGTAGTGCTAGTTTTTACTCATGGGCGAAAATATTCTAAAACATCGTCTCAGTTGTGCAGTCCTATGTTAATATTTAACGGAAACAGTGCAGAGACACTAGAGACACTGAACCCACCTTGTTTCCTCCACCGTGCATGGACCAGCCCGTGCTCTTCACTCCAAGTGCAACATGTGAGTCAGAGGCATCCAAGCAGGTAACAGGATGACCGTAGACTGAGTGGAGCGTCCGTGGCTCCTCCTCCCGGTCGTCCAATAGGTACACGGTCTCTCCTGCTGTCACGGCCGCCAGCGTGCACTGCTGCCCCCTGCCAGGCACCAAAACCAGACTCTCTACCTGAAATACAGACAAGATAGAGGAACACTTTACCTTTGTCATATGGTACTAATTTGTACAGTGCTCACTCAGTTACACAGATATTTATGCATTTGTGGTGTCGCCTGAATTTCAAATGAATTACGCCCAACACTTATATAGAGAGGAGGGTCATTTTAATTCTTTTAAGAACTTCCAGAAACATATTTTCAGTCTCTCAAGAAGTCATATATTGTACAATTTACGGTTGCAACTGAAAATTATCTAGGCAGTAGAAACACTACCGCTTTTGTCCACCGAGGCTGCCAGAAGCAGCAAAAAAAAATTCCTCGCAGGTGCTTTAATTGATTAGCCAATTATTAAACTGTTGTAAAATTTATAAAATATTCATGCAGCATTAGTCCAAAACTCAAAGATATTCAATTTAAAATGATATAAAACAGAGAAAAGCAGAAAATCCTCATATGTGAAATGCACATTTTGACTTAAACAACTAATCAGCTAATTTCAGCATTAGTACAACTTATTGTCAGAAACTGAAATGCCACAAAATGTGGACTAAGTCAAAGCTGTTAATTCTTCCATAATTATTTCACATTAAAAATGAGACATTTTTAGATGAAAGTCACAACAGGAAAATGCCTGAAGCACAAAATTAACACAATAACACATAACACATAACACATAACACGGTATGGAAAATGTCAAACTGCTTAACTCACAGTTTTGGGTAGCTGAGCCTGGCACAGAGTCCTCCAGTACCCACAGTCGTCGGCACGGTCCAGCCGAATATCAGGCCCAGCTGCGGAGACCAAGACGGGACTGTCAGGGCTCAGGGCCAGGGCCTGGACCCTCCCTGGGCTCTGGTAGTGGTGGATGGGCTCTCCACCGGTCTCTGTGCTCCACAGGTCCACGCAGCCTTTACCCAAGGATACACAGAACACTAATGTGTACTAAATCACAGCTTACATGATGTACATGATGTCTTACTATCACCAACAAGTGCTCATAGTTCACCACAGGCTCACACGCACACTCACCGTCTTCATAAGCAGCAGCAGCCACTGTGCTGTTGACCTGGACGTGACTAACATAAGGTCTGGGGTCAGAGTTAGTTGACAGGCTGTTAGGCTTCAGGTAAGAGGCCGTCGAGTCCCAATGCAGCGTATCCCACAGTCTCACGTCACCAGATGTGTACCTGAGATACAAAACAAGCACATCAAGTCCACTAAACACACATAGTTTAAATATTCCGGTTTGTAACAAAACGGCTGGTGCAGAATTATTGCCCATTTTCTACCACAGGCTGAAAAGTTTGTCTCCTCAAGAATACCTGACGTCACCCTCTCACCGCTGAATCATTTCCCCTCTCACACTTTCCTCACTCTGACTTGTTGTTATTTTGTTTTCAAAATTTTTTGTTACATCATGATCTATCGAGGATTACAGGGGTGTTGTTTGGGCGGAACGATGCTGAACATTTCACCCCTTACCACAGGACACTTGTAGGAAGTGAAGGTTATCCTACTCCTACCAGTACAGTGGCTAGAAGCCTCTGGGTTCTGAGAACTCCTACACAGTTAGAAAACTTTAAATGTGTGCCCGTTATAGGGCTTTCTATTGGCAAGAACCTGGCGATATGCTATGTATCACAAGAAAAGGTTACGATTCAATTTATTGCGATGTTATGGGCCAGTGGTTCTCAGACTAACCAGAATCTTGTTAGTACTTGTTTAGAGCTTAAACCAGTAGTTAATTGAGCAGTTGATCAACAATTAATGATGATTAATGATGATCCATTAGTTGGTTAAGTAATTCAGCCAACATTTTCTTGTTCCAACTTCTCCAGTGAGAATTTAGTTGCAGCCCTACCCAGACAAAGATACATTTCCCTCTCTCTTTAAAATAAAGCAACAGTGATTGTTCCATTGGTCTTTCACAGGTCTTCAAGAAACTAAAAGCTTGTGCTCTGTTTCCATTTGTATGAGCAGTACTGTCTACATAGCTGTGCCACAGAGAGGGCCCTTTCTGTGCCTGAAGGCAAACCATCAAACCACAACCAGTGGCTCATAGAATGCAGTGTAGAGGTCAACAGATGTTTGCGTGAGTTGAAATGAGAAAAATGTCTCATAACTTCATGTGCTAATGATTTATGGATCCTAAAAGACTACACGTAGCCAACTTAAAGTCCAATTTCAACAGACCGATATATTGTACCACCTCACCTCAACCTGTGCTTCTCCCCTTTTGTGGCAAAGCGTTGCCTCTGTCTCCCGTCCTGAAGTGACAACAAAGTCACCCGCTCACACTCAACAGGCTCTTGTTCTGTTCCCTCTTCGCACAAGTCAGTGAGCTCTCACTGTGGGGAGACGATAAACTGCCAGCGCTACCACCTCCACAGATACCATCATGTCTGAGCAAGTATCCGACTCACAGCCAAAGTGTGTGACACAGTGACAGCAAGTGTGACGGAGGGTGTACATGTGTGCGCCCGTATGTGTGTGTGTGTGACTGGCATCGCAGGGTATTGGCAGGAAGTAAAACAATAGGAATACACACTTTCACTTAATTGGTACATCACCTCAATACCAGCTATCAACAAGATGATGAAGCTGAATCTCATCCAAGTCACTCGTCAAAAACTTTTATGTGCAGGAAAACTTTGTTCACGGATTACTGAAATCTTCATGCGAGGAAGCCTCAACAGATTTGGCCTGTATGTCCCTGTGTGACTCTGAGAGTTGTAGGGTTAATGAGACAATGTTCTGTTGCCTTTTAAGTGCCAAATCTCATTCCACTGGTTTTCTAATAAGATTTTGTGGATGCAATTGAATCATTCTTGATTTCTCTTAACTGCCATTGATTCTTTTCTAGTTAAATTAAAGTACTTTCACTTAGCTAAATAACTCTTTAAGTACCAATAATGGGAAACGCATTGATGTTGTGAATTTGTTAATAGCAACGGTATAAAAAGGAAGGATTTAAGAGTATTTTAAAATGTTTGCACTTTTAAAAAGTGCATTATTTCATGTCTCGACTGTTTTGGTACTGTGTGTCTTGGTAATCTGCTTCACCTGACAAGATGCAAACACACCGTCCTCTCCATTGAGACTCACCAGGACTGGAGGGAATCTAATCACATCAGTCCCTGGAGACACCGCACATGTCCTTGTGGGCACTCTATCAGGCTCTTGTGGGCCCCTCACAATCTATCACTGTCTCAGCCCAGTTGTTTCAGGGCAGGGTTGATTTAGTTCAGCTGCAAATTCATATACTCCTCCCTCACCAACTACTGCCATTAGTACTGCCATTAGTATGACAATATGCAAAAATGTGACAATAAAAAATCTGATCAATAAAGACTCCCACAAGGTATTAATTGTTGACTTAAAGTTGACTTGGTTATAGTATTAAAAACTGTCCAAGTCCTCGTTCAGTAATCTGATATCCGTTTAAATATGTTTGTAACCAAGTAGTGTAACTCGAACCACATTCACAATTGTTGCTCTTTCCTTACCAAGCATTCTTCTCTTTACTTTTTTTTAAAATCTGCTTGTAAAAACATGACTTTTTTTTTTCATTTAAGAAATTACATGAGACTATTTGCACTAAACTCTTTAAGAAAGTAATTTTTAAAAAGGACACATGTTGAGGTTTTGCATATTTTATGCCTTAGGAGGAATAAATGTAAAAGTGACTGTATAGAACACCAAACACATCATAAAGAGCCGTGGTCTCATTGTATCAATACACCCTCAAACATTAGCCAACACTCTAAATTCCTAACTGCGCTGTAGCCAACAATAAAAGACTGATTACAATGTGTTTTGGTTGTCAATCACTATTGCATTGTATCAGTTAGTGATACATATCTTCCTGTGTCTAAACGTGACATATTCTTATTAAACACCCAGTCATAAATCAGAAGATTTATAACCAAGATTTATTTTATACTGAGATTTACATGACAAGATAGAAAGAGAGGCAGAGAGAGCGTGCAAGCAGCGGAAGTTACAGCTGATGTTAACACACATCAGATGTCAGAAGCTACCTGCATGTTTGGAGTCCTTGAAACTCACCCAGCCAAGACAAAGCTGTCACAGGAGCTGACATCACACAGCACCTTCCCCAGCTCGAACTGCAGCTGGCTGATGGATCCAACTCGGTTCTAGACAGAAAATATGACCTGGCTGAAAACACGCTATTCCATCCATAATATAAAGATCTTCCAACCGGTAAAACAGAGTGCACATTTAACTATATATCACTTGACTGTAGAAGAGGCTGGCTGTAAGGATCTATTTTATTTTCCTCCAATTTACAAACAATCATTGTGTTAAAGTCACATTTTTAATGGTGTTTATTGTATCGTATTATATTCAAAATATAAATTACAGTTAAAAGGAGATAATTAGTGTTGGGCTAGTTACTCAAAACATTTTACTTATTACTCATTTCTAGAGTAATAATATTACTCTACTTATTACTCCCTTCCAACTGTTATTAGTTGCACTACTAGATATATTACTATTCTGCTACAACCCACAAAACTGGTGTCCCTTCTCCACAAAATTCGGGCTCCTGACAATTAAAAACCAGTTCTGTTTGCTAAAATCAAAGTAATGGGAATATTTTGAACGGAAGAGTTTCCATCTTCCAAGCTAGTTTCATTCACGATTACAAAAATGAATGCAAGGTTGTGATTGGATTGTTGGATTTCAAATCAGTAGGGGTTGACAACAAAAGTAATATTGTAACTTATAATTTTTTGGGGGGGAACTAATTATTATTACTGAGATTTATTTGTAATTACACTACTTGTTACAGGGGAAAGTAATATTATTACTGTAATATTTTTTAACAAATAATGAGTTACTGCCCAACACTGTAAATAAGACATTTAGTTCATGGTCTACTGTATAGTCCACACTTTTGTCTGCACTAACTTCACCATTCAAACTCCAGCATAGCTGTTGAATTTGGGTGTGAAATACTAAAGTCAAAGTTATTCTGTTCACCACAGTGGAACAGTTCAATACCTTCCAGTTGGAGCACACCGTTTTGGCCGAACTCCTGCAGTCACGCAGCGTGCTCTTCCAGCAGGGGGAGTCGGACACGCCGGCATCCCGGTGATAACCCTCCCTCGTGCACATCCTGAACCACAGAACGCCGTCCTCTGCGAGGACTCTCCATGCCCTGCTCACCTGGGAGGAGATTGGACAGCATGACAGTGGATTGAGTCAGCATACATTACAAGCTTGCATCAGTTGATTTATTCATGCTTAACGAGCCCGGCCGCCAGATGGACTCACCACATGCTGTAGGATGGCCACACAGAATGTAATTTACTAATCTTTACTGATTTAAGTCACATAGGGTATTAAAGCTGCCCTAAGCAATTCTGAAGGTTGGGGGAAGTGCAAGGTGACTGTAATGTAAGGACTTCACCAGGAGGGGGACAAGAGAGACAAAAATCAGTGTGAGTGCAAGTTTACTGTTTTTTTAGGAACTTTAATTTGTGGTTTCATCTGCAAAAGAAGATTTCTTGTTAGTGTCACCAAACTGCAGGTACAGTCCCTTTCCGGATGGTTCCCCTTAGACTAACCACACTAACGCAACCTGAATTGAACTAACTTGAGCAGTCTGAAAAGTGATTGCTGACCTTTTTTGTTTGTGACCCCTCAGACCTTTCCTCAAATGTTGCATCAGTCTATGTGTTGCAAACTGTT